CAGCCAGTGAGCAGCCGGTCTGTATGTGGGATCCGAACCCTCGGCAGGAGCACCACCGCGCTTCCAAGCGGCGCACTGTAGCAGTGCGCCACCGGGCCGGCCCCAGTAATTCCTTCCTTCTACTTTCTTTGGTTTTATTTTGCTGTTCTTTTCTAATTCCTTAAGAAGTGAGTTAGGTCATTGATTTTTCAATCTTTTTACTTTCTAAAATACACATTCTAGAGCTATAAATCTCCCTTTAAGAACCACATTAACTGAATCCCACCAGTTATGTCATAAATTCATTATTTTCAGTTCAAAATATTTCCTAATTTCTGATTGCGTTCTTGAACCACATATTATTCAAGTGTGTTGTTTAAAGTCTAAACATTTGTAGATTATCTGTTATTTTCCTGTTCTTGATTTCTAGTTTAATTCCAGTGTGATCACAAAATATAGTTTATGGTTGCAAACACAAAATTTGTTGAGACCTAGAATATCGAAAGCAGTCTTGAAAATAAACCAAGTTGGGACATTTATACTCTTGACTTCAATATTTCTATAAAGTTGTACTAATCAAATGTGGTGCTACAATAAAGACTAACAAATAGATCAAGAGCAGAAGTTTGGGGTGAGAAGTAGAGGGGGGATGGTGGTATAAACAAACTATAAAGAGGTAAGACATAGCTTTCTAGGGTGATGGCAATGTGCTATATCTTGAAAAAGAGTCTGAGTTAAATCGGGGTACACATCTGTCAAAAGTCAGTAAATGTACACTTAAGATTTATGCATTTAATTTTCTGTAAATTTTACCTCAAAAGAAAAAACTGTAAACAAATACTAAATCCAGTTAATAATATGCATGTTGAAGTATTTAATAGAATGTGTACGATACAAGCAATATATTTTGAAATGCATTAAAAGAAAAAATGATTAATGATGGAATAGGATAGAGGCATAGGAGTAAATGTCGATGGCAGAATCTAGGTGGAAGTGTATGGGTTGTTCACTGTAGAAATTTGAAAAGGAATTTTATCTTTTGATAAAATAAGTGAGCAATCTTGGTTTTTACACTCATAAAATTAGCCATTAAGAAATTCAGGATTCTGGTAAACAAATGACCAATTGCCATTTGATTTGCAGTGAATTTATTGGCATCATGTACCGAAGATATGTTAATTGGAGGAAAGAGAAGTTTAATAGCAATTTACAAATATACAGTGTTAGCAGTACTTCTTAAGAAAATGAAGATCACATTTGATATAAACCTTTTGCCTTTCCAGCATTTTCTGAACTACCCAAGCCCATCTGGCAAGAGTTTTCTTCTTCAAAGTTCCTTTCTATCGCTTGGAGACATTTCATTTTCAGCATTAATAAAAAAGAAATCTACTATGCTCCACTGCACATCAGAGTAACCAATGTTTTTTAAAACAAGCTATCATTTAAAAAAATTGGAAACTATCTCCATAATTAAATGGTTATGGGAAAACCTCATAATGTTCAGAGACTATGACAGTTTAAGCAAAATAAGGGAAAACATTAACTTTTCTAAACCTTCAAAATGTTTGGATTTGGTCCCAATTTTGGGTGAGATCAGCCAAATCAGTTAATCCAGTGGAAATTTAAAACAAAATACATAATTATTAATATCTATTAAACTACCTGACAGCAGCAAAGAGAAAAGGTTATCATTAATAAGGACTTTTACAGATTAAACATGCACCTCCAAGCAAATTCAGACCCTAGGAAACAAACCAGGGGTCAACTAACAACATTAGAAAGATAAGGAAGCTCTATGAGCAGGGAAGTCAGAGGATTTCAGAGTCCTTTGTTTGTAAATATACTCAGAAAACATTTGCCTAATGAGATTTAAATAGTTCCTAAGAGAATAAGCAGCTAACTACATCTACCTCTAATAAAATATATTTAAGTGAAGTGGACAAATTATAAAATAATGTAAACTCCTAAAATAAACTAAAAAAGAAACAGTAATGCTGAATGTTCTTAAAGCTACTTAAGAAAGCAAATCAATCATTTAAAAAAAAAAAAAGTGTCACCAAGAAAACACCAAGCCCAAATAGTTTAACAGGAAAGAAAAGAAAAAGAGTAAATTTGATCATCAGTTCATTTTATATACTTAGTACAGCTTAAGGTCAAACCCAGACAAAGCCAATATAAGAAAAGGAAGTTGCAAATCAATCTCAGTCATGATAATAAATGCAAAATGTACTAAATCAAATACTGACAAATTGAATCCAATAATATAATTGAAGGGTTTGTTTTGTGAACACATGGTTTAGCAAAATCTGTTCATTTAACTTACTAAAGACTGAAGTAGAAAATGATGTTATCATCTCAATATACACAGAAAATGCATTCAATAAGATTCAGCAACAATTCATAATAAAAACTACTAGTAAGCCAGAAATAAAAGAGAACATCCTGTATTTTATAAAGAGTATCTATAAGAAACCTACAGCAAATGTCATGCTCAATGATGAAACATTAAAATAATTCTCTGTAAAACCAGTAATACTACAAAGATATGTGTTATCTTCATTTCCAACTTCTACTGGAGGTTTAGGCAAGTGTGTATGAACACATAGACACACAGACAAACACACAAGCACACACAATATAGATGGATTTACAAGGAAGAAATAAAATGCCATTATTATATTATTTATATCAACTGCCTGCATCAAAATGCTAAAAGAATTCATACATTTGTAAACTATTAGAATTAAAAAGAGTTTAGGAAGTTTCTTTCTAGATCAGATCACTACACAAAAGCCAAACTGCATGTTCTCATATCAACAATATTAGAAAAGGTCATTTAAAGAAAAATACCATTTTCAATAACCAAAAATTTAAGGATATATAACTAAATTATGAAGAATTATATAATTCTTTAACAAAGATATGCAAGACCTTTATAAAGAAAATAATACAATGTTATTAAAAAATTAGAGAATATCTAAACAAATATAGAGAAGTACCATGTCTAGGAAAAATAAAATAAATTATCCTAAAGGTGTCAATTCTCCAAAACTAATCTATAGAACCAATGCAAATACTGTAAAATCCCATTAAGTTTTCTCACAGAACTTGAAAGGCTGATTTTAAGATTTATATGGAAAAGAAATGACCAAAAATAGCCAAGAAACTAGTTTAGCAGAAAAACTGACAGGTGAGTAGAGAGAGGGTTAAGAAACATGCGCTACCAAATATCAAAAATTATTTTAAAGTTATATTAGTTAACACTGTAGATGTGGTAGTAGAATAGAAAGTTCAGAAAGGGACCCCCCTACACACACACAAAGATAGAAACCTGATATACTGTAGAGGTGGCATTGCATATTAATGGGGACAGGATGAATTATTCAAGAAATGTGTAAGGACATTGGAAAAAGTTAAAATGTATCTCTATCTTATATCATACACAAAATTACAGCTTAAATAACAATTTAAATGTCAAAGTCAAAACATTCACACTTTTAGAAGATATATGGAAACATGTTAATAATCTCAGGGTTGGGAAGAACTTCTTTAAAAAAAAATACATTAAAAGCACTAACCATAAAGAAAAAAGAAGCAATTTAAACATTAAAATTAAACAGTTTGTTTCACCAAAAGCCACCACTTAAGGGTTGAAAAGACAAGGCACAAACTGAGAGAAAACATTTGCAACATATATAAATAACAAATAATATCCTGAATATATAAAAAAAACTCCCATTAATCAATTAGAAAAAGACATCCCAAATGCTGGCAGGTTAACTCAGTTGGTTAGCACATAGCCTTATAACACCAAGGTCACAAGTTTGGATCCCAGTACTGTCCAGCCACAAAAAGAAAAAAAAAAAGAGAGAGAGAGAGAAAAAGACATCCCAGTAGAAAAATGGACAAAGAAAAAAAGACATTTTAGATAAGAGGAAAGATACATGGTTCATAAACTTATGAAAAGACAATCTCTTTGGTAATTAGGGAAAAATAAATTAAAAGGACAATGAGATAACCAAGTGTTGGCTAGGACATGGAATAATGTACAAATTAAAAGGACAATGAGATAACCATGTGTTGGCTAGGACATGGAATAATGGGAATTCTTATAACTTGCTGGTGGGAGCATAAATTGGTTAATACTATTCTGAAAAACATTTTGGCATGAGTAAAGCTGAACATACACATACTCCATGACCCAACAATTCCATACGTAGGAATAAATAAATATACCCTAGAAAATCTCTTATACATATCTATCAGAAGACATATACAAGAATGTATTGTCTTACTCATTGGGGTCAAAATTAGAAAATAACACTGAAATGTGTGATTAAAAATCATACAACATACATTCATCACCCAAAATTAATAGTTATGGAGCTCATAAATATTCTTTTCATGGATTTCTTATTCATTAATCGCTAAATTCATTAATAAATACCAGTATTATCCTTTTATAAATGCAGAGATAAAATACACCTGACAGTTCAATTTTAGATATAGCACAAAAGACTTTTTGTTCATACAGATAGGCATATGTACTTTAATCATCAAAGACCATTTCAAGTATTTATAAAAGAAAATACTTTTTGAAGATTATGTCAATTTAATCGGGATTAAAATGAAATAAAACTTCTATCCTTATCATCCTTGAATGAAAAAACTTGAGTTTTAACATCTTAATCAGAAAAAACACAGAAGGAAATAATATAGAAAGAGCCTGATGTCCTGTGGTCTTCCTTAATAACAACCCATTTTTAAGAGATTATAATCTACTCAAGAGAAAGCATTCTATCACAGGTCTTAATCAGATTCTGAGAAAATTCACTCAAAATAAACAAGATGCTACTAAAACCAAAACAATGTAGGTATTAGCAGCTATACAAAAGGTTAGCCTCTATCTGATGAGTCATTTCTAAAATGATGAAAAGTGTAAGTCTTTGAAGTGTTTTCCATTCAAGCCAGAAAATATATAAAGGTAGGAAATCATTTAACAAGCAGGTCGACTGAGAAATTTTTCTTCATTTTACATATCCTTGGTTTGACTCTATGGAAATATTGAACTAAGAATGGCAAAAATGGGTTTTCCTTCTTACATATTAATACTAACTTTTTCTTTGTTTTCTCAAGGTATTTTATTTTCAGCATCCAAGTCAATAAGAAATTTAGAAGATGACATGGTATTTAATACATTCAGGCTGGGGAAAGCCTTTCATAAGGAAGATAATGCAGGAAAATCAGTTGTTGCTCCTTCCCTGGAACAATATAAAAATGATGAGAGCAGTTTCGTAAATGACGACGAAAACAAAATTTCAAAGGTAAGTGGCAATGTGACTTGTCCTTTATTTCAATGAAAATTTAAATGATTTTTATAAATCCTCTGAAAAGCAAAATTGATACTTTTATAAACAGGGGTATATTCAAATAGTCAAACATTCATTAGTACAACTGCTGAAATTTCATACATACCAAGTGGTTCTTTCGTCCTGTAGAACACCTATAATCCAAGAGGTTTTTTCCCCAATAAACTTGTACTTAAACTATTTTTAAAGGGTAAAAATAGTGCAGAGCATCTTTAAATTGCTCAATAAGAATATTATACAATTGTTTTATAGTTCCATTCCCAGTAAGACAGCTAAAATACAAATCAACCTTCTCTTCACAGAACACAGGCTCCAAACATAATTTCTTAAATCATGGTCTGCCACTGAATCTGGCTATAAAACCTTATCTTACATTAAAAGGATCTGTAGCTTTTCCAGCTGAGAATGGAGTTCGGAATACTGAATCAACACAAGAAAAGAGAGAGATTGGAGATGAAGAAAACTCGGCTAAATTTCCTATTGGAAGGAGAGATTTTGACAGTGAGTAGTCTTTTTAAAATTCAATTCTTACATCTTAATAACCTAAAATAAAACTGAATTTAATGGAATCCAATCATAACAAAGTCAAATAAGACCTTGTAATATCAATTACAGTTGATATTAAGTAACCACTGCAAAAGTGTCAGATAAAAAACATTTAATTAGTTATTGAAATTTTGGTTTACTCAAAATTCGTTATACTAGATGCATTCTCTTTTTTTCCTAATAAATTTTGTGACAATTATAGTCCTTTAAACAATTTAAACTTTTTTTCCCCCATCAGTGCTCAGGTGTATGCTGGGAAGAGTCTACCGACCTTGTTGGCAAGTCTGATACCTGTTGGTCCACATCATCTTTTCAGAAGAAAACAAAATCATTTAATTGCCAATGGGGGGAATAGTCCTTAATGTTACCCTAACTTATGTGTTATTGTAAAAGTCTGTTTTAAAAGAAAGCAGTTTTAAAAAATATCAGTAACCTAAATGATATGCTTTTTCTGTGCATTAAACTTTGTGAAAATTCTGCATAATTATGACTTACTAGTATTTTGTTGTTGTTGAGGATGTTATATAATTTATTAGTATTTTTGAACAATGCTTAACATAATAACTTCACATACACACGAGACCAAAATAATAAAGCATCATAATTTATACCTTGATCTCTTAAAAATTATATTTATGCCTTTGGTGAATAGTCTTACATATACATATAAGACAAATTCATAGTCTAAAAAACTGAGTTAACTTTGTCTGGCCAGTAATCAATTTGTCCTTACCAGTACACTTACTGCCTTTTGCTACTGTGGCTAGTTTGCCATCCAATTTATTCTGCAAATTGTTTGATGTCTTTGGTATCTTAACATTTTTATGCTGAGGTGGTTCATTTCCATTATCACAGAGAATATTTTCATCATCTAAATCCACGTGTTCCCTTTTTGAACTTTTATTTCCTGTCTGACTACTTGATTTTCTTGATACTTTTTCACTTTTACTTCTGTCCAGATGAACATTTCCAGAACTTGTTCCAATTGTTGATCTTCCAACAGATGAATTTACACTCTCTGTTATGCAAGATAAAAAGGAGAAAGGAATTATATAATATTTAGTATTATTATTCATGAAAATTTTACAATAAACCTTAAAAATGGCTAAAGAATATTCAAAATTATGATTTACAATAAAATGCTATAAATTATATATATGATTACAAACACAGCTACATTACTATTGCATTACTTTTTATTTTACTATACCACCTCTCTCATTCCTACCAACAAATATTTGTTTGAATGCATGACATTTAATCCTTAAACAAACGCTACAAATTATTTAACTATATTTTAATTAAATCAAACTGTGTCCTATTCCTATCCACAAATTTGAACTTAGATTTAACTTTTTAAATAAACCCAGATCTTCAAAAACACAAATCTTTACATTTCGTAGAACTTTGCAAAAACAATCTAGTTTTACTTAAGTTAAAATCAATTTGTAGAATAGGATTAAATTGTCATTTAATGCTCAAATATGGTCAATTACCAGAAAGGTCATTTTCCATGTGAAGAACACACAAAGGCTTTAATGCTGAATTAACATTATTCCATTTATCCTTGTTTATCATGCCGTCATCTTTATAAGTACAAGCAAACTGGGATCTAATTAAGGTTTGCCTCATCTGGTAACAGAAAGAAAAGGAAATATGAATCTGTTCTTTATCTTTATTTATTTTTTCATCTAAATAGATACACAATCCATAGTAATCAAAGTATCATTAAAATGTTCTCTTAAATATTCTGGTATTCATTGGGAACTTCAAACATTTTATGTGTCGTGGTTTGCAAACTCATTCATTTCTATGGCTAGCATTTTGTTCTTTTCAGCAATACTGGCTTTACGTTTGTTTTTTATATTTTTTGTAACAGTTATAAAAAAAAATCAATTTGAGACTCTTCAGAGGCCTTTCTTACACATACTGTGTCTGGGCTGCTCTGGAGAGTGAGTTTTATTATGAGTGAAATAATACTACACATTATATACATAATCATAGAAAAATACAAGTCCTTCATCCTAAGAAACAGAGCATAAGCCTTTTGGAAAAAAATAGCATATGAAAGTAAAGAAGAAATTGAGGAAGTGAGAAATGCTAAGACAAAAAAAGAAAACTAGAAGAAATCAAAACAAACAAAAAAAACTAGCAAAGAAGTAAACTGCAAGATAAAACAAAATGGTGATAAAACAAAATGGCACACTTGGTTAAAATTTGAGTATATAGAAAAATAAAAAAGATGATTCAAATATATCATTCTAGGAAGATTCAACCAAGTGATTTAATGGTCAAAAATTCAAAATATACTCTGGTATTTATCTTCAAACCTCAAATAGGAGGGCCTAACTTTCAACATAAATAGGAGAAAATTAGAAAGATACATTTAATTATTAATCATTAAAAAGGATGCCAAAAAAGTAGTTTTAGAAATATATTCTTTTTTTTTTTTTTAGATATGCAAATTTTAACAATTATACCTGATGTATAATACCATTCAAGTATAATGGGGAGGTTTTTCCAAATAATTAGAAGTCACCTCAAATCCTTTTCAGAAATAGACAAAGTTTAAATTTCAAATAAATGATTCAATAAAGAAGACTTCAACAATTCAAAAATCTAATACTTCAAAGTATAACTACATTATGCTGAACATTACTGACAGAGTATTTATTGACAAAATCCATAAAATCTAAAACAGCACAGCTTTGTGTTATATAATCACTAGTTATACATTATATTATATATTCAGAGAGATCAGTACATTAATTCACTCAGATGTTGCAAAGATGATGGCAGTAAAATTCACTAACTATGATTTAGAAGAAAGTAGAATAGTCTCCTGTCCAAATGCTTCATAAAAGCGAGTTTTTTTAGGGTTACAAATTTTCTGTCTTACTGACTAATGGAGTCTGTGAAAGCCTTCATTTCCCAGATCAATAAAAATTATGTTTCATGTGCTTGAATAAAGCATTAAACAATTAGAGTTTATCGTCCACTTAAGCACAAAAATGCACAAAATTGAAAAAAATGTAAACATGTACAAGAATAAAAACTGTTTTTTTTAAAAAAAGTGAAATAGAGTAGGCTCTTGATAATGAATGGGACTACAACCTTCATGAATCCCCTTAATGCAACTCCTATTATCGTTTCTATACCAAGATACCCTAAAATATAACCAAAGATTTTAAGTAGCTCTTTCTGAATTTATTAATCCTACAAACAAAAAGAATTAAAGCAATTGACAAAGCTATTAAAATAAATTTTATTAATAAAATGAACTCAACATTATATTACATCATTTCATTACTACAACAACATTATCTATGAACTTATCTCCATCTGCAAAACCAGTACTAACCAGTGGCATTATCTTTCCACACATCTCTTTTATCTCAACATTATATTACATCATTTCATTACTACAACAACATTATCTATGAACTTTTATCTCCATCTGCAAAACCAGTACTAACCAGTGGCATTATCTTTCCACACATCTCTTTTATTTCACCAGAGTTATTGCTTATAGTTATAAAGAGTATGGTAAGACCATGCAGGCAAATGGGTGCTAACTGGCTGGGTTGGATCACTAGTACCCAGATAGGGATGTCTACAGGTGACTTGGGCGTTACCCTCCCACTACAAAATCTTCATCAGCACCACACATAAAACACTCTAAAAATACAGTAATTAGATTATTTAGTACAGACAACTGATGTTTTCTCAATGTCATGTTTAGCATGAATAAAAATTTCTTTAGAAAGCTCTGTTATTTTAAATATTTAACATACAATCTAAGTTAAAATCTTTGTTTGCTACATAAAATAAGTCACGAAATAAGTGCCACAGCTCTACTTACACCTAGACTTTCTCTCTTCAGGCCCCCCTGTAGAGAAACTGTAGAGTCCTTAGTGACCACAGGATGATTTCAGAAAACTAGAGTTACAAGGCAACGGATTCTTAAAGAACTGAAAACAGGTTCAGATGTGAAACGAAACTAATTAACCACTTCACCATGAAAAAGACTATCAATAAATATATCAAAACATGAAAAATAAATACAAAAGGTCTATGGTGATCTTGGAATACTTATGTCCAAAAGAAATAACTTAGCGTAGTTACAGAGTTTTTTTTTTTCTTTTTATAAAACATTTATACTTGTATATGCGTTTTCTTTTCCCTACTCTGTACAAAAATCTTTTTTATCAACTACTACTTATTATATTCCATCTAGGTGATAGGCAAACATTATACTAAAGAGATTATTAGGATGGCTTCTATAATCACAAAGACATTCTACTTATAAAATTTGCTGTTGGTACACAGCTGGAAGGAATAACAAATAAATTGGATAACAGAATCAAGACTGAGAAGATTTCAGATGGCTAGAACCAAAAGTAGAAAATAAGTTGAAAATAGAGGGGGATAAACAAGGTCCTGCATTTAAGTCCAAAAATATCAATTACAGATGTACAGAATTAGGAGAACCTAACTTAAAAACAACATATGAAAAAGACCTGGAGATTTTAATTGATAACTTGACTGGAGTCAACAATGTGATGTCCTGCTAAGAAAGCAGCACAAAAAGACAAGATGATATGATGGGAAAAGCATCAGATTTGTAGTCAAAGGACCTGGCTTCTAATACTGGCCTTATTACTTATTAACTGGATAATCATAAGCATTATACCTCGCACTTATCCACACATAAATGAAAATAATATTTACCTCATAGAATTGTCAGAATTATATAAAGTAAAAAATGTAAAACAGCTACATAAACTCTAGAGATGTCTGTAGATACTACGCAGTTATTATTTGTAACTTAAAAGAGATTGCTTTTCCTTTGTTTATAAAAGTTGAATTTTTCTGCACAAGATTAGTGGCTACATAAAATTGAGATTACTTCCTGTTACAAATCTCCCAAATCTCTCTGTGTATTTGATTTGGAATCACAAATAAGCAAAACAATTCTCTCTTGAAAGTGCTTTTGAAGTACTAAACAACTAAGAATAATGTCCAGATTCATACATGGCTGTTAAAATCACTTTATGTTCAAGTCACATGAGAGAAACAGATTGAAAGTTTTCCTTTGTAAAGTGATTTCCCCTCTTTGGAAAGATTTCTATCCACAGTAAAATTGCAATGAACTTCAAACTTGCCAAGAATTAGAAAAGTCCTTTTGCCACAAGCTCTTTTTAAATTGAAATTATTAGTAGGTTCCCAGTTTGAGGAAAATAGTATTCACATAGGAAAGCCTGACTCCAGTTAAATTAAAATGAATGAGTAAAAACATTGAAAAGTCCCAGACTGTCAGAGTTAGCTGTATTAATAAGAAAATGAAAGTTCTAAGCCCCCATTATACTGGTAAATATATCCTCAAGTTTGAAAAAGGAAATTATTCTTAACATATCTATTAAATATGTAACTAAAAATAAACATTGTAAATTTATCTTTTTATTCTTACATTACCACATT